CCTCACTCCTGCACACGCAGGTCTAGTTTCAAACCCAAAGGTTAATCTGAACAGAGGACAGAATGTGGGACCTGAAAACCCACAAGAACAACCACTGATCTGTTTCTGAAAGTCTGTGCCTCAGATATATTGATAATAAAAATACATTTTATTAAAGTGCCTTTTATAACCACCCACTGTACAACAAAACATATCCAACAATAGTCAATATTAAGACAGCACAGGGCCCTTGGTGCAGGTCTGCAATCTGGAACAGATGCAACAGGAGATCAGTAGCAGAAGCTGCAGCTGAAGCTGTCAGACGGAACTAAAACATGAATAAATGAACAAGAACAAACAATAATCTGGTTCATCTGTCAGCTGACCGACCCAGAAGCAGCTTCCTGTTTCTGGCGCCGCGGAGCCGCTGAGGTTCGTCTTGGAGAGGATGTGGTTCGAAGCTAAAGAGACGCTTCGCTTTATCTGGGAGCCTTAAAATAATCTACTTTATCAGAACTGAATGTTACCTGAGAGGAGACGAAATGTCTCTGAGCTGAACTCAGTTACCAGATGTGAGACCTGGCCAAGATGGCGGCAGCACACTCAAATGACTACCAACAGAGATATTAAAAACATTGCTTTTCTAAAAGCTGAAACAGCAATGATTTCAGCAGAGCTTCAAAGTCGAGAGTTGGAGGGTTTTTTAGCTTTGAGGACAACAAACGAAGGATGATATGGAGCAGGGGTCACCAACGCGGTGCCCGCGGGCACCAAGGGGCCCTCAAGGACCACATGGGGGGCCCTCTTCGTCTTCTGAAAACAGAACAACTCACTCAGTGGGTTGAGTTTATCTTTTTTTTATTCTGTTGCTCTTCTTTTTAATCATTTATGTATTATTTCATCATGTTAACTATTTGATCATATTTCAGTGGTTTTAAAATGACAATATTAAAAAGAAAATTAGAAATGAATAAAAGAATAAAATAAGAATAAAAATGAGTTTTTATGGGTGAGATTTACTGTAGGTGAACACTGATCCCTCCGGTTCATAGGTCAGTATTGGTAGCCCTTCCTGTGACTCGGTAGCCATGAAGTAGCCCTCAGCCTTAAAAAGGTTGGTGACCCCTGATATGGAGTATAGACGGACATCCTGTCAACGGATGCCAGCGCTGAGTTTCAGGGGAAAGAAGCATCTCACAGCGTGCCCCAGAGTGGCTGTGGCTGGAGCGTAGCTTAGCATCATCCACGTATGAATGTGACTGAATGGAGACTGAAATGCTTTAAAGTCCTCAGACTTGATAAAGTACGACGGAGTATTAGGGCCAGGCTACAGATTTGTATTATTACAAGAATGACGTCGTCATACTTGTTTCAGAAAGAAAGCTTGGAGCTCCGCCCAGCAGATGATGGC